ACCCCCAGGACCCTCCTCATCCTCACAGCTGGCTCAGCTACCAGGCACCCAGCAATGCATCTTCCTGTCCCCACTGTTTTCCAAATTACCAACCCCACCGTAAAAAAAAAAAAAATAATCATAGAGGCTCTTTCTTTTACTGGGCTAATTAAAACTAAAAATAAGCTGCGTAAGCTCCAGAGAACCATCCTGGCTTCAGCAGGACATAAAACCCTGCAGGAACAAGAGCTGCAGGCAGACGAGGCGACGTTAACCCGGCCCCGTTACTGAAGCAACTGCTGCGGGCAACGTCTGCTCGTTGGAGGCGAGCGCGGAGGTCACGGCGCTGCGCTGGCTTTGCGCAGCGTGAGAGCAGCAGGGATCTCCTCGATGTTAAAAGAAGGCAGCAAACAAGCCGCAGGATTTGGGGTGTGTTGGTTTGGTTTTGTTGTGATGCTCATTATTTATCACCGCTGATCAGATCAGGCCAGGCCAGGCTTTTGCTAGTTAGTCCCCGGGCACCCGGTGCTTGACACCGAGTGGGAACCACCGGGTGCAAAGCGACCAGCCTGTTTTCTAAGGTCATTTTGAGCCAAATTCAAATGGAAGGAAGCAATTTGAACCATGAAAAGGGAACAAATGGATAATCTGAAGAGTTACTAATAGTGAGCGAGGGATTATCTTAACAATGGCCTCATGACTGACCCTCCCAGAGAATTTTTCCATCATATTTTTGCCTCTCTTTCCCCCTCGCTCTAGCTTGCCTATGTATACTGCAGCCCCCCGGATGAGAGGCTGTCCCTGGCCTGTCTGCTCACCGCCTGACACAAAGCAGCCCCTGTCTTGCCTTGAGGTTTCCCTGCCCAGACGCAATGCAAACAGGGAGGACGGGCACTGCTGCCGCTGCTCGGCTTTAAGATTCGGATGGGAGACAGCGAGGAGGCGAACGAGCAGAGGCGATGGCCGGTCTCAGCCCTCGAAGGGGGATGCAGCCCCCGGGCCGTGCTCGCAGGTTACCCGCTGCAGACCGGGGGGGTTTCTTCCAGCCTGCCACCCAAAATAGCTTCAAATAAAACCTGAGCTGCGCATGTGAGCGCTGGGGTCCAGGGGGATCAGCATCTCCATGAACCCCCCTCCTCCAGGGTCATCAACCGGCACTGGGGCTGGGGGACCCTGCGTGGGACCCCCGGACGGCGGGGTGAGCCTGGGGGTGGGATCCCCGGTTGGGTGGGACCCCCGGTCTGTGGGGTGGGACCCCCCCCGGGGCCGGTGGGGTGGGGGGTGGGACCCGGTTGGGTGGGACCCCCGGTCTGTGGGGTGGGACCCCCGGGTGGAATCCCCTATACGCGGAGCCCTGGGGTTGGG